TAATGGTTAAAAATCCGCCACGCGACATTTGGACCAATCATGTACCGTGTTCCTTTTCATTGAGTAGTCTTGGGACATCGTGGTGACGTCAGAAGAGTTGGCTCCTGTGGGAATGTAGAATCAAATACCGTACACAAATGTGTCACGCCGTGGTGACATCAAGAGAGTCGGCTCATGTGGGAATGTAGAATCAAATACCGTACACAAATGTGTCACATCGTGGTGGAATCAGGCGTTCGTCAATGTTTGGACGTATGGAGTTATTGGTGCCGTATCATCCTAAAAGTTGTTCATTTGCCTTGCTTTTGATGAACAAAATATCCTTTTATCTTGAATAGAAGTCGCGATCTTTGCAATTGAAGGAGGTGGGGTGGCCTGGTTTCAGAAGAAAAATTAGCGAGAAAATGGCCGCCAAAGTTTCATAGCGTTAGAGTACATGTACTTGGAAACTGCAACTTTTACTTTTTTGGGGCCTTTAATCGACGTTTTCCCATAAAATCCACATATAACAATGTTTTTGAATGGACATACTAGGGGTTGAACCAAAAAACAAAAATTCCAAAAATATGTCCGAACTGGCTGAAAAAAATGCCGATTTCTTGGATTTCATTATTTTGTCGATCGCCAGATTTCAGTGGCTATCTGTGCAGAAGTTCCGTTCTCACGAATTGCCCACGTTTGGGATCTCTCTCTCTCTCTCTCTCTCTCTCTCTCTCTCTCTCTCTCTCTCTCTCTCCACTGAAGAGTAAAGGCAGCTCATGTTGAGGTATTCACTTGGGTCCCCAGGTTTTGAAGCAGTGTGTTAAACTTACTAAGTTAACACCTTTTGTTTGTTTTTTTACTATTACTAGGTTTACACTTATTCAACTATTTGTGAGGCAGCGCTGTGAAATCAGGCGCTCGTCAAAATAATGAAAGTCAAGAAAATGGCATTTTTCGGCAGGTTTGGGAATTTTTTCTAATTTTTGTGTTTTGGCTCAACACCTTCTATGTCCATTAAAGAACACATTTTTGTATGGATTTTTACTGATATAAATTTTCAGTTTCCGCAGACTCTAAAGCTAAGGAAATAACTCAACTTTGGCGGCCATTTTCTTGTTAATGTTACCTCTGAAACCAGGCAACCCCCACCTCCAATCGCCAATATCTTGACTTGTGTCCAACATAAATGGATAATGTTTTCCTCAAAAGCAAGGGAAATGGACAGGCTTTAAGAAGATGCCAATAACTTCAAATTTCCCAAAATTGACGTGTGCCTGATTCCACCACATAGTAACACATTTAGTTGGAAAGGGGTGGGTCTGGTCTGGAGGTCTGGCTGATCACTGCATCCTTATCAAACTTGACCTCTGATTTGCCTCAACATAACTGACTTGGCACGGCGCTCAGCCCATGCTGTCTCTGCGAGAGTGACCAGAGACAACACAAATTTCTAGTTATGTTTATTGTCCTGGCTTTTCAGATTCACAAATTACAGTCGAACCTGCCCGGATGGCCACCTCTATATGACGGCCACCTGTACAAACGGCCACTTTCCATTTCCCCCCTTGCGTTTTTTCTATACGGCCGCCGCGGCCACCATATTTTAACACACAACCCCTATCCCAATAAGCAATAACACCTGTCTTAGACGGCCACCTTAGTGACTCCATTGCGTTTTGCCATAAATTATGCATTGGCCCCTGGCGTTGTGGGCGAGCCGTCATAATTCAATCACCTGTCGTTGTTGTTAGGTTGTCCCTCCAACCGATCATGTTGCGTAGGCCCCTCCCACTGTTGACCAATAGCTACCAATTTTCAGCTGCTGGTGAGGTAAGCGTGTTATAACTCATAAGCCCCGCCCAGAACTCATACACAAATCATAAGTGAGATGAGTGGTCACTGTACTGTTTACCCAGTCTGTAACAAAGTAACAAAGGACGTCAACATGAACTTGTGACAGAAGCGTCGCTCATTCTCCAAGTGGTGGCGACTCATGTGTTTATTTTAACATGCCACTCGGTCTTCCTCGTCTGATACGTTTCGTTTTATTGTCACCCTTGTGCAAAATCAGCAACAAAATAAAAATTACAAACAAAATACAAACCACCACCACCAACAATAACAACAAAAAACAACAACAATGCGGCTACTTTCGATTGGGACCTCAGATGGCGAGGATTTATTTTCTTCATCTTGATCAGTCCTGCCTAAGACGGCCGCCTGTCTTATACGGCCACTTTTCTCCTTGACAATGAGTGGCCGTCTTACACAGGTTTGACTGTATTGTTAATTCAATTATGGTTGTTTGGGGGTGGGGGGAGGGGGGGTTTCATCCAAATTGCTTGTCCAGCTTATGCAATGTATGCCGCTATGTCACCTTGACAGTATGTGGAACGGTTGGGTTCTTCACTTTTATGTGAAAGACATGAGTTAATTATATGAGAGGTTTTTTTTTCAAATATCTCTGTTAGTGTCTGCACGAATATCAAATCCCATGTGACACACCTCCAGTTGTCCATCATAGACTAGGGTGAAGGAGCGTGGCACCTTCATAAGCTGTCTAATCTGTATTTTTGCAGTCGACCTTGGCAACTGATAGTGGAGTGGAGTGACCTGGTTTGTTGAAAAAGACTCGAGTAGTTTGTTTTTTGGGAGATGAAACATGACAAATTGGTCTACATTGATACCATCTGTTAGTGCTCTCTCCTCTCTCTCTCTCTCTCTCTCTCTCTCTCTCTCTCTCTCTCTGTCTGTGTCTCTCTCTCTCTCTCTCTCTCTCTCTCTCT